ATTTTCCTTTTCTCTTTCTCTTGCATCTCTGATTGCAAAGGAATTGTGCATTCATGTTCTAATTGCAAAGGAATGGTGCATTCATCCGAGATGAGGAAAGGTCCGGGTTTTTTACGGCTAAGGAAAGCTTACTTTATGGGTCGTGTGATTTTTTTTCATTTAATTCTCTTGCCACCTCAATTTGCCACATGTCACTCCTCAACTTTGCCAAATGTCACTCCTCAGCTTTGCCAAATGTCGCGTTTCTGCAGCTCCGACTCTGCTTTATATATATAAAGGATTCCTTATGTTTTTATTTAAGTAAAATGAATATTCCAAAAAAGGTAAATATAGCCAATTGGGATGACCAATTATAGAGTCATTAATGTTGCAATTTAAAAAGTCAATATTGTTTGTTAATTAAAGTAATTTTGAGGGAAAAAAGGAAATTGAATTTGTTGAGAATTTCCATTCATAAGGAAAGCACAAAAAAAACGTCTTTAATATTGGTAAGCTTATATTTAAAAAATTACATTTAAAAAATAGGTAGAATATTGAGAAAAAACGCTCTGGACAATATTGTTTCTTAATTAAAGCAATTTGGAGGAAAAAAAGGAATTGAATTTCCGTTCATGAGGAAAGCACCATAAAAAAATCATCTTTAATATTTTTAAGCTTATATTTATAGAAATTAAATTTAAAATAGGTAAAATACTGAGAAAAAAAATTTCGGTCAAGTTTTTATTTTTTGAAATTAAATCTAAAAACCCATTATTTTTATCCCCTTAAAACGATTTTGAAGAAAAATAGAAAATAAATTTTTTTAAAAATTCAAGGATGTCCAATTAAAAATCGAATCTAATTTGGATATGTTTTTAATTCTAGAAATTGAATAAAAAAATTAGGTGGAATGATTAAACACCATAGCCATAACACCTTTTGATGGAAGATATCATGCAGATTTAGATTATTGAAACCTAAATACAAATGGCGATGGAAGCTAACCTGAAGGAGACGGGTGATGAAGGTCATCGTCATCGATATCGCATCTGTTTAGATCTTCGATCTATGAATTGGAGATAAGAATGAGAGACATTGATATTAACTCTGAATAAAATATTTCATAGATCGTGTAAACCAAAAGCACCGAATTGGAGAGGAAAGCATTTACTTTGGAAGTCCAAAAGCACGGGATAAACTATTTCAATTCCTTTAGTTTTCTCACTTAGATTACGTGTAAGCCAACTGTGTAAAAATGATCAACATGTACATGCCAAATGTCAAGCTCTGGTGCATTGAGTCTCCTTTATTATAATAAAGGATTCTAACGTGAAAAAAATTTTAAGCTATATATTGTTCTAAAGTCATTGTGTTTTTATTTACTTATGTGTTTTTATGGATCAATTGATAGAACAATATAATTATACGGAGTATCATATTTTGTTTCTTCAAAAAACTTTTGATATAGTTCTTAAATATATAATTTGTTTATTTTTAAACGAAATTCTAAAAAAATCAGAAAAAAATATTTTTTCTCGCAAATCGATTCATGATTTTACATGGGGAAGGACTGTATATTTATTTACTACTCCCTCCGTCCCTAAATAATGTTCCACTTTTGACTTTTTGAGGATTTAAGGGAGGGATATTTTTGTGTTGACTTTCCAAAAATACCCTTGATGTGATGTGTTAAAGTAAGATGTGATAGGTAGATTATTAGTAAAAAGGTATGATGTGATAGGTAGGGTATGAAAACGTAAGGGGTAAAAGGGGGTTTTTAAGGGAAAAGAGAACTTTATTTAGGGAAAAGAAAAAACGAAAGAGGAACTTTATTTAGGGACGGAGGGAGTATTTATTTATATATTATTTACTTATTTATTTATTTTGTTATTAATTGATTGATTTATTTATTTATATATCAATTTTTCATTTATATATTTATATTTTTATCAGTTTTTTAATTAATTACGCAATAAATATTTTTTTATTCATAAAATTACATACAATAACAAATAATATATAAAGTTAGTCCAGGATGTCAGTTTACCGATATCCGCTGGACAGCCTGGACTAAGGGGCTGTTTGGTAACTTCTGAATGGGTAAGTGCTGAACCAGTAAGAGGTCTGAACCATTAAGTGCTGAACCAGTAAGAGGTCTGAACCATTAAGAGCTAGTATATTGCCTAACTATTCAGAGACAAATGTCTGATCAATTCAGATAAGAGGTCTTAACCATTCAGACTCTGTATAATACTTAACCATTCAGAGGCAAATATCTTAACCATTCAGACATCTGAACCATTTTGCTAAACCATTCGAAACATGAACACCCCTAACTTTTTTACCGATACTCCGTATTTGAATATGGCTAATTTTTTCTGAAATTTCATTGCGTTTGTTCGGTGGTGTTTCTAAAAGGCCTCGGAATTGGGGCTGTAATTTGCCTCATCTCAATCTTTGAGCTCTGCAGTTTTGCCGTTCACCACAACTTGCAAGTTTGTACAGAAAGAGGTAAGCTTACATAATTTATTTTAGAGTAATTTTGTGAATATTTATTGTAACCCTGTACTATTTTTGCATAAATTTTCAATGAAAATTGAAATTGTTGGGTAGCTTTTTGAAAATGCTAAAGTTAAGGCCCAACATACTCTCTACTCCAAATTAAACTTTCCATTTTTTTTGCAATGGGTTTAAGAAAAAGTAAAAATTGTCTTGAGATTTTTGCATAACAGATTGAAAAATACTCCGTACTTTCTTTAAATATGAATTAACAAATGACAAGTTCATTTTGGCCTTTTTGGGACAAACAAAAAAGGGTGAAAAGTTTATTTTGGTCCCCCCCCCCCTACCCTTTGCAAACTCAATCCTTCCTGCAGTTACCATTGAAAAAAAAGGAGATTTTGTTCTGTAATTAAATACTCCGTAGTTAGCTTAACATAGGAGTCAGTGAGCATATACATTAGACATGAACTAAAGAATAAAGTTGGAGAAAAGTTGGCATTAAGGTAATTAGGTTGGAGTTGCACATGAATATAGGAAAAGTAAATGGTTGACTTGAGTCTCCTTCTCCATATGAGAAAAGTCTTCCATTGTAATTGGATTAGTCATAAAGATTGTATTTTTCTCTCATAATAATAATAATACTAGTAATAGTAAAGAACAGTGGTATGCTGGGAGGATTGAGTCTTCCATTTAAGCTTAGCTTGATCTCTGCAGCACTCATAAAATATTTTTCTAAAGAAGAGAAGTTTGTGGGGGTGAGTATGGAGTCATCATCATCATCATCATTCAACTTGTTGTTGTTCATCTTTTCATCATCATTCATACTCATTTTCATCTCTCATAATTCTGTGGAGGCATTCATCCACTCATCATCATCATCATCATCTTTAAACAAGAAACGTTGTCAAGACGACGAAATGGCAGCCTTGCTTCAATTCAAGCATCATTATTATCGGTATTTTGATGATACAGTACTGGAATCATGGAAAGAAGGGGGTGATTGCTGCTCGTGGGAGGGTGTGGAGTGTGATGAACAAACTGATCATGTGATCGGCTTAGACCTGAGTAAGAGTTTCCTCTATGGTTCCATAAACTCCAGCAGCCCCCTCTTTACCCTCACTCACCTCCAAAGGTTGGACCTCTCCTGGAATAACTTCAACTTTTCTCACATACCCTCCGCAATCGGAAACCTCTCAAGTCTCACTCATCTCAACCTGTCCGCTTCGTACTTTGATGGCCAAATCCCACAACAGCTCTCCAATATTACCACTTTGGTTTCCCTCGACCTCTCGTTCCGTCTGATATCTCTTGATGTAACACCCGAGTTGGAAGTTGGTAGTCTGAAAGGACTAGTTCAACACATGACCAATTTGAAGCACCTTGATCTATCTGGTGTGATCATCTATTCTTCAAATCTACCTCATGACCTCCTCTTCAATTCCTCGTCTTTAGAAACGCTCGTTCTTAATGGGTGTGGCCTGATGGGTGAGTTTCCCGTGGCCATTTTCAATCTCCCAAAGCTCAAGGTGATCAATCTAAGTAACAATTATGGTCTCAAAGGTCATTTGCCCAACTTCCCATCAGGGAGTCCTCTTAAATCGCTGCTGCTCTCTGGAACAAGTTTTGGAGGAGTGTTGCCTCCCTCCATTGGAAATCTTGGTTGTTTGGAACATATAGACATCTCTCGTTGCTATTTCACAGGGAAGCTTCCGATGTCACTCGGTAATCTTACCCAGCTTGTTTCTTTGGACAATCTTATTTGGGAAGGTAATCACTTCAGCCCTGATAGTTTCACTACTAGTTCATTATCATGGATCGGTAAGCTCACCAAGCTCACTTCTTTGAGCCTTGGAAACATGAACTTGAAGGGTGAGATCCCATCGTGGCTCATGAACCTTTCTCGACTTACGGAGCTATATATCAATGATAATCAACTTACTGGTCCAATCCCATCTTCCTTCAGGAACCTCACTCAACTCATATACATCGACTTGTCACACAACAAATTATCTGGTCCCTTTCCATCTTGGCTCACGAACCTCACTCAGCTCATGCATATCGACTTGTCACACAATCATTTAAATGGCCAAATCCTGTCCCAGTTTAATGGCATTACTGAGTGGTTGGACCTTTCGTATAATAATTTGGAGGGATCTCTTCCTACAAATATATCTACTCTCCATAACCTTAAGTTTCTTTCACTTGAGCGTAATAGATTAGTTGGCTCCGTGGAGCTAAGTGCATTCTCTTGCTTCCAAAATTTAACTTCTTTAATCTTGTCACATAATAATTTTGCATTGAGCGTAAAGAATATTAGCTCAAAAGTTGCCATCTACTTTCCAAGCTTACATGTTATAGGGTTGGCTTCATGTAATCTGCATGAGTTTCCTACATTCCTACCCAACAACAAACACACATTGGAGTATTTGGATCTTTCTGATAACTATTTGAGAGGCCAAATTCCTGCTTGGGTTTTCGACATTGGTCAAAATTCTCAAAATGGAATGGATTTAAACCTTTCTTATAACCTTTTAAGTAGTTTTGAACAAGATCGTCAAGTTTTTCATCTAACGGGCAGGATACAAAGTCTAGACATTAGGAATAATATGCTACAAGGACATCTCCCAATCCCACTGCCTTCCTCATCCTCACCTTTGTTTTCCTACCTAATTTCAAACAACAATTTGTCAGGTGAAGTCTCACCCCTCATTTGCAATTTAAATTATCTTGCGAATCTTGATCTGTCCTTCAATAGTTTCAGTGGAAAGCTTCCCGAATGCTTGAGCAATTTTAGCAATTTCCTTTCAGTATTGGATCTAAGAGGGAACAAATTTAATGGAAATATTCCATCAACGTGGAGAGATGGATGCCAACTGACAATGATAAGTATGAGTCATAATGAGTTAGAAGGGCCGTTGCCGAGGTCATTAGCGAAGTGTTCATTCTTGGAGTTTGTTGATTTTGGTAACAACCGAATAAATGATACTTTTCCATTTTGGTTAGGAACCCTTGCTAACTTGAGTGTCCTTATTTTACGATCCAACAGTTTGCATGGTGTCATTAGGGATGATTTTGGATTCTCAAACCTTCGAGTAATCGACTTATCCAACAATAGTTTCAGCGGGAAGTTGCCATCAAAGTTCATTGGCACCTGGAATGCCATGAAAACACCAGATTCAAGTCACTCTATTGCATACATGGAGAACTTGTTTTTTTCAAATGTGAGTTGGACTTCAGGAGATGGCTCATTTGATTACTCAATGACCATATATAACAAAGGATCAGAATTGAATTACACAAAGATCCCAGTTATCTTTTATGCCATGGATTTCTCTTCCAACAGGTTCGAAGGACATGTTCCGGATGTGATTGGAGATCTAACTGGGCTTCAGCTGCTAAATCTTTCCAGAAACCATTTCAGCGGTCAGATACCATCTTCTTTCTCAAACATGAAAAATTTGGAATCTTTGGATATTTCCCGGAACCAACTTTCAGGACAGATTCCAACTCAACTCACAGAACTCACTTATCTTTCATCATTTGACGTGTCGTATAACAATCTCTCTGGCCCTATACCACAACGAAACCAGTTCTGTAACTACGACCCCAAATCATATGAAGGGAATCCCGGATTGCGTGTCGAGACTTGGAGTAAGCAGTGTGGAAATGCGAGGACAATGCCTCGACTGCAACAGCCTCCGTCCATCACAGAAGAAGAGGAAGAATCAGAATCAGACTTCAAAATAAAGTGGATGATAATATTGATTGGATTTGTTAGTGGTTTAGTGGGTGGAGTGGTCGTTGGGAACGAACTCACCACAAGAAAGCATTATTGGTTCGTCAAGACTTTTGCAAAGATACAGAGATGGTACGCCTGAGATCACGGGAAGCATACATACTGATAAACCTCAGCTGTGTTTGGAATCAGAAAGAGAAATAAATGGTTTTGAGTGTGTTTAATTGTTGTTGTTATGTATTATCTGCTGTAATGTATTTTATCTTTATCAAGTGATGCTATTTGATCTATGTTAGATGGTTTTTTGGTGTGCGTGGTGTGCTCAATAACCATGCAAAAACTCATATAAAAACAGGATCGAGCCAAATTGTTTGTGCTCATCATCTTCTCATTTTCTTCCAATATGTTCTTTTGCTTAATTTCCATGCATATCAGACTTGAGTTCTTGCATTAAGCCGGTGATTTACAGTGCAAATTGTATTGCTCATCCAGGTTATTGTAGTCTTGGTTTTAAAGTTTTTTCACATGAAGGTATGCACCAGCTTATAACAATCAGTTTTAGTAATCCATAAGCTTGCTTGATTTATTTTAATCGGTGATGAGTATTTTGATGTGCACTAGTAACATTCTGAACCATTGTATTCCTTCTTCTTTTTTTTTAAATTCCTTCTATTACTTAAATGAGTGCTATAAATAGTTTTCTCAGCAAAACTGAAACTTCATTAGGCTAAAATGGTTTGAGCAATTTTCTGTGTTGTCACTTTGCATTAAGTTGTTACCTTTGGATTTGTAGTTTTTATTTGACACCCTTATTAGTAAAATTAAATTATATACTTGATCGTTTCCAATCCCATCACCTTTTCCCTACTTAAGTTCCTACCTAATTTCAAACAATAGTTTTTCAAGAGAAGTTTCACATCTCATTTGCGATTGAGTAAATTTCATAATTGATCCTTTATAATAGGGGGGTTTCCATATTTAGTTCTTAATTATCAAATATTACCCCCGTAGTCCTTTTTTAAGGATACCTTTCTACAAATGGTCCTTTTTTTGATCTGTCGTGTTGGTGTTAATTTAAAGGCGGCTAAAAGTATAATTTGACATCAATATTATGTTTAGTGACGTGTTCTGATATTGGTTAAGCAGATAACACAAAAATAATGACTATGGTTGTGGGCTAGGGTTCTGACAAAAGACCACATTTGTAGACTATGGTTGTAGTAGAAAGCGACTGTAATTCACAAACGATGCAAACGGAACAGCCTTTGAAATTGTGTATGACAAAAAAGATATATTATCATTGTGAAATTACACTTTAAGCTCTCAAATTAACACCAACATGATAGAAGATCAAAAAAAACTATTTGTGAAAAAATACCCATAAAAGAAGGACTATTTGGATAATATTTGATATTAGAGGACTAATTAGGGAAACCCCTGTTATAAAGAACCAATTATAGAATTTACTCTTTGCAATTTAACATCCCTTGAGCATCTCGATTTGTCATTCAATAGTTTGAGTGGAAAGCTTCCCCAATGCTTGAGCAATTTTAGTGATTCCCTTTCATTGTTGGCTCTCGGAGGAAGCAAATTTGATGGAAACATTCCTTCGGCATGGACAAGTAAATGCAGTTTGCTAATGATTAGTATGAGCTACAACCACTTACAAGGGCAGTTACCAAGTTCATTAGGAAACTGTGCATCACTAGAGTTCATTGATTTTGGTAACAACAAAATAAATGATACTTTTCCATTATGGTTAGAAAGTGTTACTCCGTTAAGCATCCTTATCTTGCGATCTAATAGGTTCCATGGTGTGATCAAAGATGGTTTTGGATTCTCAAACCTACGAGTCGTCAACTTATTCAACAACAGTTTTAGTGGGAAGATACCATCAAAGTTCATTGAGACCATGATTCATATGAGAGCATTAAATGCAAGTCGCAAGATGGGATATATGGAGCAGCTCTTGCTACCAAATCTCTTCCAGCCTTTTGAAGATTTTGGTCCATTTGATTACTCAATGACCATAATCAACAAGGGCTTGGAAAGGAACTATATGACAGATTCCAGATACTCTTTTTGGAATAGATTTCTCTTCCAACAATTTTGAAGGACAGATTCCAGATGCATTTGGTTCGTCAAGACTTTTGCAAGGAGAGGGATACGGTAGGATTGAAATCAGGGAAACCATACATATTAATCACTCTCAACTGTGTTTGGATTCAGAAAGAGAAATAAATGGCATTGGATGTGTTTTGTTGTTGTTGTTGTTGTTGTTGTTATGCATTATCTGTTTTCGTGTTCAAGTGGTGCAATATGATCTGTATATGTTAGAAGAGAGGAGGTATATTGTGTATGTTTTGTGTTCATGCTTATATAACCATGAAAAAGCTCATATAAAAAGCGTAAAATGGTGTCACCAAAGATTCTGGCATGGCAGGATTATTGTCACCATAACTTTCTTCCCATATGTTTTTTGGGTCTGCCTTTTGTTGTCTTCCTTCTGCTTCTTAAATGAAGTGCCATAAACAATTCTTTTTAGCAGAATTGGATCTTCATAATACTATAATGGTACTATTTTATTATTCAAGTTAGTGTGTCGAACAATCTAAATTATTATGTCTCAGGCCCCGTTTGGCATCAGCGTTAACATTTTGAAAAGGTTATCCGATGATAGCTTTTAGAGTTAGCATTTCCAGAATTAATCTACACCATTAAAATTTTATCCAAAACGCTAACGCTAATTGAAAACGCTGTTCCCAAACAAAGCCCCAATCTTAGGACATTATCTTATTTTCAATTGAACAATATCCTTCTATGTTGTCACTCTGCGTTAAATGGTTACCTTTGGAATTTTTATTTGATTTTTGACTTTTTCTTTGTCAAAGTTTACCCCTTTGTATTTCGATATAAGTATAATATCAATAATTTTTTTTAAGAAACGCAACTTTGAAATATTGAGTTTTCATAAAATATATCCATGTATAAATGTAGATGTTAATGCTCAAAGTCCAACATTAGAGATTGTAAGAAGTCAAATGAGAAAATTATTTCAACACATAGGCAGTATAATGATATGTTCTTTTTGCTTTCTTTTTAAATCATAAATCATAATCCATGGTACGAAGTGTAAAACTAGATTTTGTGTAAAGGAATTCAACTAAGATCGTGTTTGGGTAAGTTTGAGTTCTAGTTCAGAACTGAATGTTGAGATTGCCAAAGTTAGGATCCATAACATGCCTTTGGATAATATCTAGAAATATTAAAAAATAAATAGGTTGAGAGAATAGATTGAGAAGAGTGATTTTTAAAATAGTACATTAAAATTTGGGAAAAGATAAAAATTGAAAAACTAATTATTTAACGGCTCTTTTTTTTGGGGGGGGGGGGGTTGTTCCACGTTGTTGTGGACACCTATGTGCGCCCCCGGGCCATCACGACGCACCAGAAGCGACCATACCGCATGGTCTTAGGGATGAAAGAAAACATTTAAGAGTAATACTAAGAGTACACTAAACATTTGAGCCCATCTCTACCCACATATACCTTATCCACCTCCCAATCTTCATTTCCCATCTTTTAGGGTATGGATAACAATTTTATTCAAATCTGACTTTTTCTGACCTGACCAAAAAATATAATATTTAAATCCGGCCTAAAAATTTAATATCCAAAACTGATCCGAAGATTTTAAAACTGACCGACCTGACAATCAACCCAAAATGTTAATCCTTTTTTTTTAATTTAAAATAATATAAAAAGAAGAAAAAAAAATCCTTTTTCCATTAAAATTCCAAACATTTTGTCGTATAATCTTATCTCTCGAACCCTATATCAACGGACCCTATCTCTCGACTCTCCCTCTCGTATTCACAACCTCCTACAGGCGACCACAGCGCACAGGCGGCGGGGCACAGTCTTCATCGGCGACCACAGCGCACAGCGGAGATTCTTCATCGGCTACCGCACAGAGCACAACTGCACAACCTATCTCCTCCTCCAACAGGTATCATAATGGATTCGAATTTCAGTAGCAGATTTCACATCTTTATTTATTTATACAGCCTTCTTCCCGATCTGCAGATTTCTCTTTTTCTGGTTCCCGATTCATTACATAGTTGTTCATAAGAAATACCGGAGTAATGAAATTTTCCATGTATTGTTTATGATAATGGATAGAGTATTTGGTAAAACTGATTGTTGAAAGTAAGAGCAATTAACTTCGCCGCCCTTTGTTACCATTCTGATGGGAATGCTTTGATCCCATTAAAATGTCTTTAGCAATAGAAACTGATTGAGAAAGGCACCATTTGAGAAACTAAAATGTAAATTAGAATATCAGTGAAAAAAACAGTAGATGCAGGACACTGAGATCCAATGCACTCAGGGCAATGGTGATATCCATTGCAAGATTTTTTTATAATGTCTTTAAATGTTCAAATGTTTTTATGTATTGGAATTGTAATTATATCATTACATGCATTTGTTATTTTATCATTATGTTAATATAAATCAATACAAAAAACTGATATATTAGGACATTGGTAGGGTCAGTCGGTCGGGTTAGGCTTAGGTTTTTGTCAAATTGTCGGGTTTGGTTGCGGTTTCGGGTTTCGGTTTAGTCAGTCGGGTTCGGGTTTGGGTAGGAATTTATACCCGATGGTTTGGGTTCAGGCCAAAAAAAATATCCGATACACATTTTGGGTCAGTTTCGGGTAAGGGTTTATCTGAATCGAACCTGACCCGTTTCCATCCCTATTTTAGGGTACACCACCTCATTCATTCATTTCAGTTTTACAAATCAACCTTTGTCTCCGGCAGCCGTTGTTAAAAGATCTTCAGTTCTGCACCAACTTGGATTGGTGGTTTTCGTCAATCTCATTTACTTTGGGTAAAATTTATGGACATTAATACTCTGTAACTCTTCATTTTTTTTCCCCTCTCTTCTTCCATTTCTCATTAGCACTTTCATTTTTATATTTTTCAGGTGGAAAACATGAACATCATGAACTCGTTAATCTGTGGTAAGAGCTAGGTTTTGCAGTTCTAGCAGCTAGATTCAGTCATTTACATATTATGATATGGTTCTAGAAATCTTGCCAAAATCATGTGTGTAATGAACTTCACAATGGCTTAGTCAAAGTGATTTTGCCAAAATCAGATGTGTAATTTGTTTGGAACACACCTAAATTTCTCCCAAATTCTGAGATTTCTCTTTCTGGTATGGTTTCAGTCTTTCAGAGTACTGATTTTCATATCCTCACAAACCCACACTCATACAAGGTCCAAGCCCAAAAATTCCAAAATGTTGTGAGGGAACAAAATTACAAGGGCCATATGCTAGTACGAAATTACAAGGCCCTACTCTAACTGCACCCACTCCACAATCTACTCTACTTGCTTCATCTTCCCCTATGGGATTTTTTTGCAGTCTTCACGTCTGCCAAAGCATTTAATGCCATTAACAAGGGAAGGCTTACAAAAAGAATTCGTAAAGAAGAGTGGTTGTTACATGAATTCTCCAGAAGTTCGCTTCTTGTCAATGGATCTCCATGCGCATTCCATTGCAGGATAAGACTTTATTAACTCTTTAGGTTTGTTATAATTTCCGCTATCTTTATCTCTTTTTTGTGGTTGGGCCATAACCCATGCAATAACCATTCTTTTTTACGAATTTCATATACTTACCAATGGCCTTAAATGCTTTGGCAAACGTGAAGACCTCCACATGGGAAGAGAGAGAGCAAGTAAAGTATATTGGGGATTTACCAAAAAACTATATGTACGTGTACAGTGCCACATTACGATAATGCGAAGTCCTATTTCAGGAAAAAACATGAAAGTTCTATTTTGATACTTTTCTTTATGTTTTAGTCATATTTAAAGTGATTTCTACTCCCTTTTTGTCACCTCTACATCAATATCATATCTTCTGAGTGACATGATTTATAAATATCTGATTCTTTGACGTTGTGTTTTGTGTAGCTTGCGGTGTTTGGGTCGTGCTGTATCTCAAAGGCTATCTCATGCAAAAGAAGTTTTCCCTTCACTCTGATGGCCTTGATGCTTGGTCGACAACCATAAATATTTTGGAGCTTTTGGGAGAGTGCCGTCACCGAGATTGGACGCTAAGTGCTCCATTTATTACGCCCTTTGATCACGGGCCCTTTAAATGAACTTGATATTTCTGCATTTGTTTAACACAACTCAAGAATAGTTGGGTATCTAAGGGGGTCTAATTTTAAAAATTATGAATCTTAAACATAGAAAAGTATAAAAATTACTCAATACCTACAAGCCCTTTCAATGTTCTCTTCTAGCTCTTTGGCCTCCTGGTTTACTAGCACGCCTAAATTAAAATATTCTACATCATCAAGCCTAGGATTGTAAATGGCATGTTTAGCCCCATAGGTTATCATGAATTCCCCAGAAGTTCGCTTCTTGTTAATAGATCTCCATACGGCCTCCATTGCAGGATAAGACTTTATCATCTCTTCAGATTTGATATAATCTTCAGTTATCTATGTCCCTTATCTGTGGTAAGGCCATAACCCATGCAATAATCATTCTTTTTTAGGAATTCCATCTATAAGTCTTCCCTTCCCAATCGCATTAAATGCTTCGACAAACGTGAAGATTGCATAAAATCCCACATGGGAAGAGTAAGTCCCCAATCTACTTGCTCTCTCTTCCCATGTGGTAGTCTTCACGTCTGCCAAAATATTTAATGCCATTGGTAAGAAAAGAGGCTCACACATAGAATTTGTAAAAAAGTATGCTTATTGCATGGGTTATGGTCCAACCAAAAACAAGGGACGAAGATAACCGAAGATTATATCAAACCTGAAGAATTGATAAAGTCTTATCCTGCAATGGAAGTGGCATGGAGATCCATTGACAAGCAGCAAACTTCTGAGGAATTCATGATATAACCCAATGGGCCAAACATGGTGTTTACAACCCTAGGCTTGATGCTGTGGAATATTTCAATTTGGGCGTGCTAATAAACTAGGAGGCCAAAGAGCTAGAAGAGAACATTGAAAGGGGTTGTAAGTACTGAGTAGTTTTTATATTTCCTTATGTTCAACATTAATAATTTTTTAAACTAGACCCCCTTGGATACTTAATTATTCTTGAATTGTGTTAAACAGATGCAGAAATATCAAGTTCATTTAAAGAGTCCGTGATCAAAGGGTGTGATGAATGAACTACTTGACGTCCAAACTCGGTGTCGGTGCTCTTCCAGAAGCTCCAAAAATATTTATGGTTGTAGACCAAACATCAAGGCCATTGGACTGAAGGGAAAACTTCTTTTGCATGAGATAGCCTTTGTGATACAACACGACACAAGCACCACAAACTACACAAAATACAACGTCAAAGAATCAGATTTTTATAAATCATGTCACTCAGAAGATATGATATTGATGTAGATGTGACAAAAAAGTAGTAGAAATCACTCTAAATAAGTCTAAAACATAAAGAAAAGTACCAAAATATAACTTTCATGTTTTTTTCTTGAAATAAGACTTTACATTGTGGTAATGTGACATTGTACACGTGCACATTACATATATTTTTTGGTAATGTAAATATATTTTAAGTCTTATTTCGAAAATAAATACTAGAAGTTTTATTTTGGTATATTTTCAATGTTTTAGTTCTATTTTGGTCTTTTTCCCAAAAAGGAGACACCTACACATAGCCAGTAGTTGTTCTTGGCCTAATGTGTGTTTTATTTGAAGTGTTTTTGTTTGTTAAAGATCTATTGTTATGGTGCTCCTGTTAGAGTTTCCTCTGAACATTGCCAGTAGTTGTAGTTGTGCTTGGACTGACGTGTGCTTTATTTGAAGTGTTTTGTTTGTTAAAGATCTACTTTTATGATGTAGGAACACACCTTAATTTCATCAATATTAGCGATTATACTTTTAATGACTCGTCTTATACTTAAACTTGATGATATTGTATCCCTAAATGCATGTACACTTAGCCTTGGAGTAAACACGAGCAGCTCTACAAAAGGTAAATTTCAAAAGGTAAATGTGAAACTCTAGATGAGCAATGTTAATTTATCATTTTTACCTTTGACAACTGGACGAGTGACAATGCCATTTTGTTGGAGCAATCTATCTGAAAGTATATTGCTTTGGAGTGAATTGGGCGATTAAAGTGGTTCATTGTCGTATATGTGGTGAACCAAACTTTGCTTCACTTTTATTGACCAAAGTTAGGATGAAAGGTGCACTTTTAAACAATGTGCTTGAACCTGATAAAAAATGTATAAACTTTGCGACGTCGGCGGGGAGCGGAAGAAAAGAAAAAAAGAAATGGGGTCAAATTGAAAATTTTAAAATATATATAATTCTAATTTGACCCAAATGAATGGAAGTTAAACTAGAAACGGGCAAATGGAGTTTTTTTTTGAATGCTATTGACTCTATTACAAGGTAGTATATGTTCATACTATTCTCAAGCTAATGACTAATGACGCACAAAGAGCCAATGCTGCTGCCTTTGCTGGGGCTCGAACCTGGGTGAACTTCCCCATGAATCCTGGGGAGTGGGCTTGCTACCACTCAAACCAGGGGAGAAGTTCGGCAAATGAAGTTTTAGTGAAAGGATTGTGTAAGTTCAAAGATTTTTATGAAAGGATTTAAAGTTTAGGTACTACTTCAAAATTCCAACTAAAGTTCAGGTACTACTGGTATTAATAAAGTTTAGGTACTACTTCAAAAATATTATTAAAGTTTAGGTACTACTTCAAAATCCCATTTTCCCATCATTTTTAATAATATTTTTTACACTTATTTTAATTTAAATAATTAAACTAAAAAACATTAAAAATTTACTTTTTTATTAAACCTAAAATAATTGAACATTTTTTTCAAAATTAAAATAAGAAATACGGAGTATAATGATGATAGTGCGTCTAAAAAAACAATAAAAGTACATAAAACAAAACAGTTTTTTAAAGAAAAAATAACAATATAAAAGTATTACTCCCTCCGTCCCACTATATTTGTCCACTTACCTTTTGGCACATCATCCAATGCACTTCTTTAATTCATTTTATCTTGTAATTTGTATATTAAAAAAATTATAAAAATTATATATTAATAATCTATATGTTAAGACGAATCAAACAAGATCACACATGACTATTTTTAGGCTTACACATTGAGAGAATTTGATGAGTCAAAGTGCTTAGATGAACAGTTCCAAAAGTCAAATTTGGACAAAGACAATGGGACGGAGGTAGTATTATTTTTTAAATACAAAAACTACTTTTGCAAAAAAATAATTATAATATAAAGTTAGCATGAATATAAAAATGAAGAAACATACATCAAGTATAAGTCTAGGTATATGTGTCAAGAACATCACTTTTAACACAAAAAATGACACCTCATCAAAGATCTTTGTTTGATTACCTCTATTTAGAATTCAGATGGAGACAAGAAGAGCTGCCATCCGCTTCCATTCCCACATTGGAACTATTTTACTGATAAGGAAACATCGAATGAGAAATCGGAGATCGAGGAAGTTCGTCTTTGGTCACTTGTCAGTGTGCCCGGGACGATGACCCACCCACCCAACCAAAATGTGTCTCTAATTCGTCAACAGTGGGAATACATTTGTCTCGGCTTCCATTTCAAACGTATTTGGTTTGTCCTTCTCCCAAGAACCAGCTACAAAGAAGAAGGCCTTCTTTGGAAATAACTTTTTAGATTAGTGTTTGCATTTTGGATAAATATTTAATGGTATAGATTGATTCTGAAAATGCTAATGCTAAAGACTGACGTCAACTAGTCTTTTCAAAATGTTAACGCAAATCTCTAACGCTGATGCCAAATGGGGCCAAAGAAGAAACACTAGGGATATTCCAGAAAGAAGATTAAAAAGTATAAACCTTAGGCCTTCATTTGATACACGACATTGAAATTGAAATTCTATAAAATTAAATTTCATTAAATTGAATTCTACGGAGTAATTCATTTCCAAATTTTTTAATTGGTATAATTAAAGAATTGATACACAATTATTTTTTGTATTATAATTTCACAACTTTTGTTTGAGTTTAGTTGGTTTGGTTGGTAGGATGTGCTTAACTACTTACGGAATTTTTGAGTTATAGTTTTTCATGTTTCATTTTTAATTTTAAAGTTTTAAATTTTAAATTTCAATTTTTAAAATTTTAATTATTAAATTATGATTTATAATTTATAGTTTTGAATTTTCAATTTTAAGTTTGAAAATTTTATGTTTAGATTTAAAATGAGAATTTAATTACATTCATGAACTGAACCAAATCTTTACAGGGGCCAATATGTAAAAGTTGGATCTTCAGATACATGAATAAATAATACCTAAGAACAAAAATGGTCGAAGTAGTTTAATAGTAGTATTACTATGACTGTAACCATTGGTCAATCTATGAAAAATGACAAGAATTTATTTGATACTATATGGATGACTGGTTATGGAGAGATCGTTTTCTTTTTGTAGGGTGGTTACGTCTATTACTCTTTTTTACGCCTACTTTGCATGCTTTATGTGGTTGGTTCATGGGTACAATCTTCGTAACTTCTTGTATACCCATGGATTGGCTAGTTCCTATTTGGAAGATTGTAATTTCTAAACTGCCAGCATTTTCGATTATTCTTGCAAATAATTTAGCTCATTCTTTATTGTTACGCTGAAGTCCTGAAGTGCAAGGAGATTTTACCCCGTGGTGTAAATTAGGAGGTTTGTAGACATTTGTAGCAAAAAATTGTTTATATAGGATTGTATTTTGGGCTTTCAGCTGTTTACTCTTGGTATGAGTTAAGTTGGTTTCGTTGGTAGGATGCCTTTACGTAATTTTTAATTTTTAGTTTTTCATTTTAAATTTTTAAATTTTAATTTTTGATTTATAATTTTGAGTTTTAAATTTTAAGTTTGAAAATTATAAGTTTAAATTTTAAATTTATATTCTAATTCTAAAATTTGTCATTGGTTCAAATCCAATAAGGGGCTATCCATTCAAGTATTTTTTTTAAAAAAACATGAACTACAAATTCGAAATATTCAAAAAATTCAATGTTCTTCTCATTTATTGTATAGATTTCATATGGAAAAAAAGAAAATACCTTATAACTTATAAAACTTCAAAATTAACAAATTCAAGACAAAGAAGTTGACCTTATTCATTTAATAATGATTGAAATTTCTATTCTTATATTTTACGTTTAGAGAAGAAATATTTAATTACATGCATACATGAAGAAAAACTATCTTGATTTAGCTGATTTAGTAATAAATGAAATTTAGACTCATAACTTTTTAGTACTTGCTCTGAAGACAAATGGTATTGGGCAGTATAATTATCATCATTTAAATTAGTATTTATTAATATAGATTAATAAGGTTTTTAAAATATAAAATAATTTAAAGTGAGAATTTAATTAGGTTCATGAGCAGATCCAAATCTTTACAGGGACCATTATGTAAAAGATGGATCTGCGAACCCCATTGGAAGGCACAGTTCAAGATACATGAATAAATAATTTAGCACAGTCTTCATTGTTACGCTGAGGTTCTGAAGTGCAAGGAGACTTTACCCGACAGTGTAAATTAAGAGGTTTGTGGACATTTGTGGCTCTTCATAGTGCTTTCGGATTATTTGGTTTCATGTTATGACAACTTGAGCTTGCCCTACAATTGCGGCCTTATAATGCCATCACATTCTTTGCTCCAATTGCAGTTTTTGTTTCTGTCTTCTTTATTTATCCACTAGGTCCGTTTGGTTTTTTTCACCTAGTTTTGTTGTAGGAGCTATGTTCCAATTCATCTTCTTTTTTCAAGGGTTTCAAGATTGGACATTGAACCCCTTTCATATGATGGGAGCTTCCGGTATACTCGGTGCTGCCCTGCTATGTGTTATTCTTGGTGCTACCGTTTTCATTGTCGTCTCGTATTTTATTTGACTTTCGCTACCGATATACTCGTATTTTACTTTACGTTGACTAAATTTACATGTATGAGAATCTAAGATATTTAATATTGGATTTGGGTGATATCATATACCCTTCCTCTTATAATTTGAAATCTATAGCATCTCCAACCATTGAGTTTTGGCTCGTTAAATGTCATAGTTTGGCAATACATTTCAACTTTTATGCTCAAAGGGGCTTGCTATATTATGCCACACTTGGTAAATTTTAACTTTAGCTTGTTTATATAGCAAACCTCAGGAGTTAGTTTTCACATATTTTAAGATACTTCAGCAATTTTTAGGAAGAAGATGATAAAAAGATAACGGTGGAAATGAATATGACGAGGGATGGACGAAAAGTCCCTCCGAAGTTAATTTTCACATAATTTAAGGTAGAGAAATTTACCTAAATAAGACTAAAACATAATGACTTTCCCAATATAGGACCATATGTTTTTATTTTCCAATGTAGGACCTTTGGTCATTATCACGAAGTCATTATTCAACTAAATGTGCATCATTGCTGGACATTATTCCTTCCACTAGGTCATTGTTAAGTCCTATTTATGGAATAAAAAAGTTTGAGTCCTACATTAGGAAAGTCATTATGTTTTAGTCCTATTTAGTGCAAATTTCACTTTAAGGTACCCTAAAGTATATTTTTAAAAACAATAGAACATGCGAGTTTTTATCACAAAACCGAGAATATCCAGCAGTAGTTTTTTGATGTCCATATGCACATGTTGATTAATGAATGGAATGAAATGGAGACATTAGAGGGGAAAATAAATGGAACGCATTTTATTCCCACATCGGGGGAACTATTGATAGCCAATCAAGAATAAGAGATTGGAGACAAAGGCTATTTTCTAGAGTCAATTCACCATGTCTCTTGAATTCTTTACGAAAGTATGTATTCAAAATGGTCAAGTATTACAAGACATTTTTAGAAAATTTCTCATAATATTTGTCCATCTTGAATACATGCTCACAATTGAATGACAATGATATGTAACTTTTTGTGTTTTTGAAGGCAATATGTGTTTTTTTTTTGCTTTATTTTTAACTCATACGGAGTAAATTATATAGGAGTATAATGCAAAGCTATATTAAATTTAGAGTGAATTCTCAAAATAGTTTTTTCTAATAAAGTATTTTTCGAAATTAGTCCTTAATAAGCAATAATTACATGTGTGATCCTTTATAACATAGATTTATTCCACAAGTGGTCCTTTTACCGAAAATGTGTAGTAAATGTCATACGGTATGTTCTCGAAATGTTACTTTATAATTAGTATTTTTTTCAAATTGATAATTTCTAAGCAAATGTTTTTCCGAAATGGAGTCCATGAGCCTACTCGCGGTATGTCCATTCTTCTAGCAGTTATCCACTTAATAAAAATGATCATTTTGAAAACTTATTCATAGTTTAGATGATAGAAAATACAAAAATACCCTACATTTAACTATCATTTAATATACATTTTCAAGAGAGGACTATTTAAGAAATATATTTTCAATTACAAAGGATCACTTTGGTAATTATCGCTTATTGATGTTTAATTTGGGAAAACATTTTATTAAAAAGGATTGTTTTGGAACTTTTCTCTTAAATTTATCTTGTTCTTTGTAACGAAACATTTCGAGTAAATTTCCAGAATGGTACTCAATAACTACGTGTTTTCTTAAATTAGTCCTCAAAACTAACTAATTTCTAAAATGGTACTCAATAATTGAAAATAATGCTCAGTTCAGTCCCCCCAACTAACGGCTGTTAAAATAGCGTTAAAAAATGTTAAACTCTATGCTATTTTCCCAAAATAATACGAAAGTACTTTATAACTGGGTGCTTTCCCAAATTAGTCCATTTTCAAAATAAAAATACATTAATTATGAAAAATATTTTAAATTTTATAGGATGATAATATAGTACTAAAAACTTTAAATATAATTTTATAAATTTGAAAGCAACATTATATATTATTTACAATTATTTAAAAGAATATTATGTAAAAAAATATTTAATAAACGTTAAAGAAATCACCCTAAATAGGAGCAAACATGGAGAAAGAGTTCCTATTTTAGTAATTTCTTTATGATTTACTCATATTTAGGGTGATTTTATTAACGATTATTAAACATTTTATTTACATGCTACTATCTCCGTCCCTGAGTATTTGTCCAGTTTTGACTTTTTTCGATCAACTACTTTCAACCTTTGACCTATAATTAAATAAAATATATATTGTATTTTAATTAAATAAAGTAATATTTTGAAAATACTTGATATAATAAATATAATAAAACTTTTTTATCAATAAAAACCCCAAAGTAAATCAAAATAAAAGCAAAGCAAGAGGGGAAATAGAGAAAGAGGAAGGAAAACTTCAAAAATCACCCCTTCAAGAATTTATACAAAACTTCTCAATTGAGAAAAGAAACTCGGCATTGCCCGGATTCAAGAAAACGATAAAGAATGTCAATGATCTCCAATCAAACAAGCACCTCCGATAGCCTTTACTGTTTTTCTGCGACATCAGTTGCTATATGCACACGTCAACTCTTTCTCTCTTCTTCAAAGGCGTCAGTAACTAACAACGCTAATCAGACTTCTCTCTTCTCCAACGATGTCAGCAGTCACCGGCACACGTCAAACTTCTCTCTTCTCAAAGTTTCCAGTTTCCAGCTACTGTCCAGGCTTCTTCTTGCTTCAGTCAGAGTTCAACTTGAGGGAGATGTTAGACAATAATAATAATATAACTTAGGGTAGTATTGGTCATGGTAACATTGGATTATTAATTTGTTTTTTTCTATTTATGCAAGATGTAGGTTTTTTAATGAGTTTCCAGTCATATGAAGCAAATAATGGCTACTTTAAAAAAGACTACTCAAACTCTTTTGGATTTTATCAGTCATATTATACTTCCTCCGTCCACAAATAAATTTCTCGTTGCGCGTTACGATTTTTGACTGAAGTTATTTTCAAATCATTTTATATGAAAAATGGTGTAAAATTTAAAAATAAAAATTACATATTAAAAATTATATCAAAAGATTTACAAAACTAGAGGTGACATGACTATATTATTTTATCAGCCAACAAAGTGCATAAAATTTGACCTTGTGAATAGTGAACGAGAAGTTTATTTGTGGACAGAGGGAGTATTGTTTGTTCTCGCCAAACCTTCACCTCTGTAGAGAAATCTTCAAATGGGTACGAGTAAATTCCATAATTGGTCCTTTATAACAGGGGGTTTCCCTATTTAGTTCTCTATTATCAAATATTACCCCGGTGGTCCTTCTTTTATGGGTATCTTTCCACAAATAGTCCTTTTTTTGATCTTCTATCATGTTGGTGTTAATTTGAGGGCTAAAAGTGTAATTTCACAATGATAATATATCGTTTTTGTCATACACAATTCCAAAGTTTGTTCCGTTTGCGTCGTTTGTGAACTACATTCGCTTTCTACTACAACCATAGTCTACAAATGTGGTCTTCTATCGAAATGCTAGCCCACAATCATAGTCATTATTTTTGTGTTATCTGCTTAATCAATATCAGAACACGTCACTAGACATAATGTTGATATCAAATTATACTTTTAGCCTGTAAATTAACACCCACATGACGGAAGATAAAAAAAAAGGACCATTTGTGGAAAGACACCCTTAAAAAAAGGACTACGAGGGTAATATTTGATAATAGAGGACTAAATATAGAAATCCTCTCTTATAAAGGACTAATTATCAAATTTACTCCATGGGTACAGAAGGAAGATAGGGGAAATGGAATGGAAAACATTATATTCCCACACGAGAATAATTACTGACCTGAATAAGAAATTGGAGATGAAGGCCCTTGTCAAGGTCAAACTTGTGGAATCATAGATGACCCACCTTGTGTAGTATCTTTCCTTCTCCATGGACATGTGTTTCAGAACATAAAAATTTCAAGACATTTTTCAGAAAACTTCTTATAATATTTCTCGTCAGAAACACATGCCCATAAGTGAATGATAATGATATTATTTTTATTTTTTAACTCATACAAAAAATCATGTATCTAAAATGAGTAACCATTTTGATATTATTTCTTAACTGTGATTTATCTATACTATACATCTCATCCTATTCTATTATAAAGTAAGACCAAAATTTGAAAATAACACTAAAATTGTTCATTTTAAAGGTGTGTGTTTTTTTAAAGAGAAGGGTTTTTATGGGATAAAGAGAGTGGTGGAGTACAATACCACAAAACTAGGCTATATTCAATGTATGTATGAGAAATTAAATTATTTTTAAAAAAATTAATTATGTTTTATAAAGTCCTCTGGTAAATAGGGAAAATAATCGTCCTCGTTCTAAATTAATATTTTCATTTTACTATTCTTATGTCAATATTTTTATTTTTATTAATTTTCATTAGTTATTAAAATATTTTAGTAATTATGAAAATAACTCTCCGTTCTAAATTAATATTTTTATTTTACTAAATATATCTCACATTTGTATTATCGAGGTAAAATATCAAGTTTTTTTCAATTCATTTTATTTACATATTGATATAGAAATAAAAAATAAAATTTACATATCAAAAAACTAAATGAAAAGTTTTTCGAAATAAGATGTGTCAAAAATATTTTATTTTATCAAATAACCAATGAAGACGAATAAATAAATAAAAGTTCTTGTGAATGCTGAAAAAGCAAGTGTGACAAATGTTTTGGGACGAGTGAGTAATAATAATAATTACTCCCTCCATCCCGGAAAACATGAGAGTTTTGATTTTGAAGGAGGATTTAAGGGGAGTGTATTTTGGTATTGAATTTCCAAAAATGTCCTTTGATGTGATGGGTAAAATTATGATTTGATGGATAGATTATTAGTAAAAAGGTATGATGTGATAGTTAGTGTATGAAAAAGTAAGGGGTAAAAGTGACTTTTTAATAAAAATGTGAAGTGTTTTTTGGGACGGATGAAAAAAGAAAAGAGAAAGGTTTTCTGGGACGGAGGAAGTATAATAATGCTAAATAACTACTCACTGGTTGCTAGCACGTTTTTCACGCGTTTGTCTTTCTCTCTCTAGCTTTACCAATTTCTCTCGTTTTTCATCATCTTCTTCATCCAATCGGTGTTTGTGTGTATTCGATCCTAACATGAAGAAAAATACTTGAAATGCATTACAAAAAGGCCAATTTTAAATCAAAAAACATAAAATTTCAAAAACTCTATGTCCCCGTTTGGTACACGGAATTCAAACTATAGAATTGGAATTGAGGACTTCTATTCCAATTCTCGTATTTGGTAGCACAAAAATTATGTGGATTTGGAATTGGTAGTGCAAAAAATGAATTGGAATTGGAGAATTCAATTGTATGGAATTAAATCTCATGAAATTTTAATTCTAATTCAATTCCAATTCTATCGATTCCGTGTACCAAACGGACCCTATAAGAATTGAAATGCATCTGTAGCTTCCAGCAAATACAACAATTTGGCTTCATTCGCAGGTTGTGGAAAGTTAAAAGGGGGAGGAGTGTGAATGTTGTTTTGTGATGGGATGACCAGAACCAGTGTTCTCCATCAATGCCTGCCACCACCATGGTTTCCTACTGTCCATATGGTGTTTTTCCCTTTGATATATGGTATACAATGGACTAATGAATTCATACACACCAAACACGGACAAATAATTGGAATTGTCTCCCATTTCAAACACATGATATATTTATTTCTTCGTATAAATCAGAGCATTATCATCAGTTATGTTATCTCATAACATATATTACGGCTAGTACATTATTTGTACGCTAAAGAACAGTACAGTAAGAGTGTTTCTGTGTTTGTTTGATGATGGAGTTTTCATTTTACGCTCACTTGGTGTTGTTGTTTTTACTGTTTTCATCACCATCATCATCACTCATACTCCTCTCTCTCAGTACTGATTCTATGGTGGTGGCCCAGTCGAAGGAGAAGCGTTGCCACGATGACGAGAAGGCTGCTTTGCTCCAGTTCAAGCACAGCTTTCCCAGCACCAACAAATGCAAAAATGATTGGCCTGATGTTCATCAAAAACCAAAACTGGAATCATGGAAAGAAGGGGGCGACTGCTGCTCCTGGGAGGGTGTGGAGTGCGATGACAGAACTGATCATGTCATCGGCTTAGACCTCAGTGGGAGCTGCCTCTTCGGTTCCATAAACTCCAGTAGCAATGCACTCTTTACCCTCACTCACCTCCAGAGGCTTGACCTCTCCTACAATGACTTCAACTATTCTCACATACCCTCTGCAGTCGGAAACCTCTCCCGTCTCACTCATCTCGACTTGTCCTCCTCATACCTTACAGGCCAAATCCCGCAACAGCAGCTCTCCAATATAACCACTTTGGTTTCCCTCGATCTGTCTTATAATTATCGTAGGGATGATGACTCTTATCACGGATTGGAAGTTCATAGTCTAGAAGGACTGGTACAACGCATGATCAACTTGAAGGAGCTCCATCTATCAGACGTGAGAATTTCTTCTTCACGTGTACCTCAACTCCTCTCCAATTTCTCATCTTTAGAGTCTCTGCTTCTTCTTAACTGTGAACTCAGGGGTGAATTCCCCGTTGCCATTTTCCATCTCCCAAAACTCAAGGTGCTCGATCTAAGGGACAACCATGATCTCCGAGGCTATTTGCCCGACTTCCCTTCAGGGAGCCCTCTTAAATCATTGCTACTCACTAGTACAAGTTTTGGGGGAGTGGTGCCTCCCTCCTTTGGAAATCTCGCCTCTTTGGAAGATATAGACATCTCCTATTGCAATTTTACACGTGAGATTTCATCTTGGCTCATGAACCTCACTCAGCTTATAGACATTGACCTGTCTCACAATCGATTAACTGGTCAAATTCCATCCAATTTTAGTCACCTAATTCATAGGTTGGACCTTTTGTCTAACAATTTGGAAGGTACAATTCCTACACATTTTTCTAATCTTCATAACCTTCGATATCTTTCACTTCGTTATAACAGATTCGTTGGTTCGGTGGAGCTAAACTTATTCTCTCACCTCAAGAAGTTAACTATTTTATTTTTGTCATACAATCATTTGTCATTGAGCGTAAAGAACATTAGCACAAAAAACATCACACCTTTTCCAAGCTTAGAGTTTTTAGGATTGGTTTCATGCAATCTTTCCGAGTTTCCTACAATCCTGCACAACAACATAAATACATTAGAACATCTAGACCTTTCTCATAACAATCTCAGAGGTCATATTCCTCCATGGATATTTGATCTCGGTCAAAATTCTGAACATGGTCTGTCTCTGAACCTCTCTTATAACCTTTTAACTGGTTTTGAACAAGATAGTCCTCTCTTTCATCCTCGTGCTAAAATAAGGACTTTAGACTTAAGGCATAATATGTTACAAGGATCTCTTCCAATCCCATCACCTAATCCCTACTTTAGTTCCTACCTAATTTCAAACAATAGTTTTTCAGGAGAAGTTTCACATCTGATTTGCAATTTAACATCCCTTGAGCATCTCGATTTGTCATTCAATCGTTTGAGTGGAAAGCTTCCCCAATGCTTGAGCAATTTTAGTGATTCCCTTTCATTGTTGGCTCTCGGAGGAAACAAATTTGATGGAAGCATTCCTTCGGCGTGGACAAGTAAATGCAGTTTGCGAATGATTAGTATGAGCTACAACCACTTACAAGGGCAGTTACCAAGTTCATTAGGAAACTGTTCATCACTAGAGTTCATTGATTTTGGTAACAACAAAATAAATGATACTTTTCCATTGTGGTTAGAAAGTGTTACTCCATTGAGCATCCTTATCTTGCGATCTAATAGGTTCCATGGTGTGATCAAAGATGGTTTTGGATTCTCAAACCTACGAGTCGTCAACTTATTCAACAACAGTTTTAGTGGGAAGATACCATCGAAGTTCATTGAGACCATGATTCATATGAGAGCATTAAATGCAAGTCGCAAGATGGGATACATGGAGCAGCTCTTGCTACCAAATCTCTTCCAGCCTTTTGAAGATTTTGGTCCATTTGATTACTCAATGACCATGATCAACAAGGGCTTGGAAAGGAACTATATGAAGATTCCAGATACTCTTTTTGGAATAGATTTCTCTTCCAACAATTTTGAAGGACAGATTCCAGATGCATTTGGAGATCTCGCGGGGCTTCAGATGCTAAATCTTTCTAGAAACAATCTCAGCGGTCACATTCCATCTTCTTTTTCCAACATGAAGAATTTAGAATCTTTGGATCTCTCCCGAAACCAACTCTCAGGACACATTCCTATGGATCCTACAAAACTCACATCTCTTTCATCATTTGACATGTCGTATAACAATCTCTCTGGCCCTATACCCCAGGGAAACCAGTTCTGTACCTTTGACCCCACATCATTTGAAGGGAATCTAGGATTGTTTGTTGAACCTTGGAATGAACAGTGTGGAAATGTGAGGTCTTTGCCTCAACAGCAGCAGCCTCCATCCCCTATAGAAGAAGAAGAAGACGATGACTCGGAATCAGACTTAAAAATAGAGTGGATGATAATATTGATTGGGTTCGTAAGTGGTTTGGTTGTTGGAGTGATCCTTGGGAACGAGTTGATTGCAAGAAAACGGCATTGGTTCGTCAAGACTTTGGCAAGGATGGGGATATGGTAGGATTGAAATCAGGGGAACCATACATATTAATCACTCTCAACTGTGTTTGGATTCAGAAAGAGAAATAAATGGCATTGGATGTGTTTTGTTGTTGTTGTTATCATTATCAAGTGGTGCAATATGATCTGTATATGTTAGAAAAGAGGAGGTATTGTGTATGTTTTGTGTTCATGCTTTTATAACCATGAAAAAGCTCATATAAAAAGCGTAAAATGGTGTCACCAAAGATTCTGGCATGGCAGGATTATTGTCACCATAACTTTCTTCCCATATGTTTTTTGGGTCTGCCTTTTTTGTCTTCCTTCTGTTTCTTAAATGAAGTGCCATAAACATTTTTTTTCACAGAATTGGATCTTCATAATACTATAATGGTACTTCATCCGTCCTATTTTAAATTGTCTGTTTTCTTTTTTTGACCGTTCCAAAATAAGTTGTTTGTTTCTTATAATAATAAACTTTTAAGGGTAAAATACTTAAATTATCTCTAAAATAAGTCACTCTCTCCACCTTATCTTCTCATTCATCACCACCCCCTAAAAAAGTAAGACATTTTTAAAAAATCAACACCACTTTTTTCAAAAATTAAAGAAATGAAACATTGGCTTACCCCCAAGATCTACGTCTGCCAAATCATAAAAGTTCACCTTCTTCCAATTTCGTAAGTTGCAACCCAAATCCCCCTTGCTGGTGGCATCCAAAGTTTCATCATCATTCTACAGCACTTCTCCAATTCATAGGAATTCATCCTCCATAGTGAGCATCCATGATACCTATTTCATTTTCAAATTCAAAGACGAAAGAAATCAGAGATGGGAGAATAGCTCAACAGCACATTATTTTAAAGGAAAATTGAAAAAAGATATGAAGATGTGCTTCTTCCAATTAAAAAAAATACAGTACCAAAATGTAGTCAAGGAAACCATTTCAAATGAAAACTTGAAAAATACCAGAGCGGCTATGAACAATAACTCAATCCTTGTGTTCAGATTCTGACCTCTGCGCCTCCCGTCTGTGTCCGCATAGAAGGCAAGGCCAAAGATGAAAAAAGATTAGATCAGAGTGTTCCCACACGGGAGGGAGAAGTAAAAATGGACCAAAATATATAGGTTCACCCAAATCCATTAGTATGAGGCCTTTTGGGAGGTGACCAAAAATAAATCCGTGAGGGATTGGTCCAGAGCGGACAATATCATACTAATGCGGGGTTGGGGTTAGGGCACGCGCAGTCCCAACATGTGGTATCAGAGCCCAGGTTCTTGTGGGCGTGAGCAGTGGACTATGTAGTGTGAAAAAATTTTGGTGTGACGGTGTAACAATAGGACCAAGACCAAGAAAGAGGATCCGAAAATGGTGCCCTTATGTCGAAAGTCTTCCCGACGAGAGGAGGTCGGGCGGCGTGTCCCGTGAAGTTATAGTCACGGCGGTACAAGATGATTTTGCGGATCAAATGGTGTAGCCCAGCGAAGGAAAGATCTGCGGTTCGAGCCTTGTGTCGAAAGTCTTCCCGACAAGAGGTCGGGCGGTGTGTCCCGCAAAGAGTGTGCGGCGGTGCAAGATGGTTAGCAGATAAAAAGAAAAAAAGGGGGGATTACCGCTGGAGGGGAGGTCGGAAGTTGTGTGGTCCTTGGATGAGGGGAGGCCTTTTGGGAGGTGCCCAAAAACAAATCCGTGAGGGCTTGGCCCAGAGCGGACAATATCATACTAATGCGGGGTTGGGGTTAGGGCACGCGCAGTCCCAACATGTGGTATCAGAGCCTAGGTTCTTGCGGGCGTGAGCAGCGGACTATGTAGTGTGAAAAAATCTCGGTGTGACGGTGTAACAATAGAACCAAGACCAAGAAAGAGGATCCGAAGGTGGTGCCCTTGTGTCGAAAGTCTTCGCGACGAGAGGAGGTCGGACGGCGTGTCACGTGAAGTTATAGCCACGACGGTACAAGATGATTTGGCGGATCAAATGGTGTAGCCCAGCGAAGGAAAGATCTGCGGTTCGAGCCTTGCGTCGAAAGTCTTCCCGACAGGAGGTCGGGCGGCGTGTCCTGCAAAGAGTGTGCGGCAGTGCAAGATGGTTAGCAGATAAAGAGAAAAAAAAGGGGGATTACCGCTGGAGGGGAGGTCGGAAGTTGTGTGGTCCTTGGATGAGGGGAGGTTTGTTGGGATTTCCTCCAAGTCCCACACCAGAGGGAGAAGTAAAAATGGACCAAAATATATAGGTTTACCCAAACCCATTAGTATGAGGCCTTTTGGGAGGTGCCCAAAAACAAATCTGTGAGGGCTTGGCCTAGAGCGGACAATATCATACTAATGCAGGGTTGGGGTTAGGGCACGCGCAGTCCCAACACAGAGGAGGCGTGATAATAAACTGCTCTATACGGTTAAACTTACAGTTTTGGCCCTAAATAGTTTCACTATCGATCCCGATTCACTACCCGGTCAAATCGCACAAGTAACTGACTCAATTTTAGGCGGTAAGAATTCTTGCTACTCTTGTAAATAGAAGGATTTCTTATTTTGATTTTTTTAATCAAACAGTAACATTTTTTATAATATAAATGGTAAGAAAAATATATTGACTTATAATATAAATTCAACATAAATGAGTACATCTTAAGATGTAGTCCTTTTGATATATCAAATTTTTATAACTTTTATATATCTAGATTACGTTTAATTTGTGATAAAAAAAAGTATCATTGTTTAATTAAAAAAGTCAAAACAAAAAAAGGTTAGTTTGACTTTCAAAAAATACACCAGCTAACTATCCCTCTCTCACCCCCATCTGCCCAGCCCCCAATCTCCACCCGTTTTCTTCTTCACTCGCCACCCGCCATGAACTTTGTCCAACCGGCAACCACCCTTGGCCCAGTCCCCCATCTACCATGCATCGCCCTTATGCTATTAAAATATTATTGGAGTATTAAATAGTCTCGAAATATCTTTTTCAATAAAATTTTTTAAATATTTATAATAGAAACTAATTTATTTCCCTTCCTACTCAACAACGGAAAATATGATTGGAAACAAATTTCTCTAAAAAAATTATTTTTCCAGAGAAATATTTTTCTTCCAATCAAACCCTCTTACCTACCGATGACACCCTTACCTAACGATGGGGAATATCATATCCATTGGCATGTATGTTATTATCAATTTAAAAATAAAAAATTGGTGTAGAATATAAAACTAAAATAAGAGGCAGTCATTAAATAACAGGAAGAAATTAAATAAAATAATAATCAATACACAATATAAAAATAGTGAAAAAAATAAATCGTAAGTGAAGTAGCTAGGTTAGCATTGAGATTGGGGAAGTCTTGCAATTTAAAAAAATAAAATAAAAGGGGACTTATGTGGTAAGTTTATGTACTATTAAGTGATATAAGAAGTACAAGTGTCAATCAATGAATGAAGGAGTAGGAATGCAATCTCCATTGCAAAGGCACCAAAGAAACCCGCTTGAAGTTATCAATGAACAAAGTGAAAATCTTTTCAAGTAGTTTTCAGAACTCTCAAAATGAATAATATGTTCACAGAGAAATACTTCCTTTGTTGGGCAAAACATGCTAGCTAAACTTTTCCATCTATCCCAAAATATGTCCTTATTTATCATATCCTTTTTTTTCCTTTGGAAAAGGGGATGTGGTCCAAAATTCTTCCATTCTTCCAAACAACACAGGGGCTATTACTTCACAATATCTTTTTTTTTATCACTAAGGAGACCAAAAAAAACAAAGTGAAAAAGTGGAATCATAGCCAGGACATCCTTTCCAAATTGAATTGGATGCAAACCATTCACTGGGAGTAGTGGTCATAGTCTCTTCACGTACTGAAACCCAGCGTCTTCAAATTTCTGAGCAATCTCTTCACGTAGCTTGCCATGGAAAGGAGGAGCTCGACACTTCAAAATGTGATTCGGACCCATAGATTGGATCAGGCCATCTTTACCAAATGCAACAAGAGTCTCGTGTCGCCCGCATAGAGGATGGAAGTATTCATCACAGAGTTTAGCTGCCTTGGATGAGTCTGCACGGCATACCAACCACCCCTTTTCCATCAAGTGTTTATCACTAGTGCGGCTGCCATCTATGCTTACAGCAACCACCTCAACAACATTTGAATGCATTCCTTTGATATTATTTTTGTACCACTTAGCCAGTTTATCACCTAGAAATTTCTCCTCCGTGTACAGATAAAGAACAACAGTCTTGTTCTTAAGCCCATTTTCCACACGAACCCTAACGAAGGAGCTTGAACCACGCTTGCGACAAGCATATTCCAATGGAAGAAGTAATGAGTTCAATCTCAGTCCCATTATCCTTTGAAACTCCTTCTCAACCAAATTCCTCCTGGTGAAGGGATAACCATCCATGCCGAAGTCACGAATGATTGATAATCCATAGGGATCCACATAATTCTCAATGGGATCCACTATTAAAAGACCTTCCTCATGGCTGCCATTTTCACACATTCTACTTAGCCTATGGGATACGGTGTTGTTGAAGGGGGAAAAAAACCAGCCTAGCAGCTTAAGTTTTCCAAGAGCTTGAATGATCCACCCCTCATGCAAGTGTGGGGGCACCTGCCTATAGAAGGGGCAGCAAACCACGACAATCTCCAGCTCATAATTTTGCTGTTTACATTCCTGGTGAACCTCCCGAACCTTCCTTAAACTTGTGCAATCAGAGCACACGTAAAGCCACACAAATTTCTGTTTAAGTTTGGAAATGGTAATCTGAGCATCCTTGAAAATATTGAATAGAACATCAGTGTCACTGAGGCCCAAAAGATCATTGATGGAGAGAACCTTCAGAACAGAATCGCTGCGTAAACAAATATCCATTCTCTCTGGTGTAAAGGGAAAGCAGTCATGTTCATTCCCTCCAAACTGAGAAAAGATGATGGGCGGGCCATGGTAAAGAACTTTGTGAGATGGATCTAGAATCAAAAGTTTGGGCTTGCCATCAAACCCGAGTGCTGAGCAAATGGACTCACGTCGACGAGACTCATGGAAAGGGACAGCATGGCAGGAGAAACCCGACAAGAAGTGTAGATAGGCAGAGCGAGAATGAGTGAAACCGTCCCTCATCATTGGAACAACCACCAGCCCGCAATCATCTCTCCTAGAGAGCTCATGAGAAGCTAATGCTGTGTGATACACCATCGGTCCATCCACTGAGCACCATAGCAAAGGCACAAACACGCAACAAATCATAATGTATCTACCGGTTAGGTCTAGTGTAGCATTATTCTCATCATTGCCTCGTGTTTTGCTTGATGCAGAGCCCATAAAGCTTTCCCTACCAGTAGCACTGTTGAAACCCCAGAGGGTATGCCCCAGCAAATCTAAAACATTCACTTGTTTGCCGCATACCTCGACATTGGGCATATCATGTAGCAAGGTATTGGGATAAATGGGGAACTCGGTGTCAAAATATGACCCCATCTTATGTTCCTTACTTAGAGCACCGTCGGAAGTATCAGCAGCAGGGACCGATATCAAACGCTTGATGTATTGTTGTCTACGCCTGGACAGATTTGGAAAGGATATCCTCTCTTCTAACAGCTTCACTGTGCGGTCTACACAGCAAACATAAATTGAATCGAATCAAAATATCAACTTCAATGAAATTGAACGCGCTGAAAAACGCAATTTCTCCGGATTTGATCTATGATCGATGGTTTAAACTGATTACCTGATAGAAATGTCGGTACGCCGGGACGCTTGGAACGGGAGGCCGATTCACCATTCTTACCCGACGGATCTTCATCACTCCGACGCCTCTCAGCCTCCATTCTCCGATCATCAATCCCTAGCCTCGCTCTGATCTTCGTTTTGGGTTTTAGAGGATTTCTTACGGAGCTTCAGTTGCGATTATACCCCACATTAAGTCTCGCGCCAACACGGATTAGAATTACGCGTGCAAAATAAAAATTTAAGAGCCATGCAACAGAGAATTGATTTGTTCGCGAGGCAAACAAACAAAGACATTAACACACAGTAATGTTTGGTGGAAGAAATTTGGATGGAGAAGAAAATGATTTTCACTTATTTTTCTCTCCAAAATAAGAGAAATTTAGTTTTTTTACCCTTGTAATACATTTTGTTTTCTTATTTTTTTTCTTTTCTAACAAAATAAGAAACATTATTTTTCATCTCATTTTTTCTCTCTTTCAAATTATTTAAACATGTTAAGGAACCAACTCAATCAAAAGCTCAAACTTATAGATGTGGCCTAAGAATAATTTTATACTCCCTCCGTTTGGAAAAACATTTCCCACTTTGAAAATAAGGCAAATTAAGGAAGTGTAAAATTATAGCTGACTTCCAATTTTGCTCCTGATTGATGGGTAAAAGTAAGATGTGATGGATTGATTATTAGAGAAAAAGTATGATGTGATAGGTAGGGTATAAAAAAGTAAGGGTAAAAGTGGTTTTTTAATAGAAAAGGGAAGTGTTTTGTTGGAAATTAAAAAAAATGAAAGAGGAAGTGTTTTTGAGAACGGATGGAGTATAACCTAACATTATAAAATTTAAGATGAGGTAGGGATCACTACACTGGACCCTAAGACCCTTGGACTGAACCATATTAAAAGATTGAATCCAATCGATCAGTTAATTTAACTCAAGAGCTTATATACCAATTATTTTACTCTTGGACTTCCGATGTGGAATGACACTCTAACACTCTCCCTCAAATGGACAATTAGATAATTTTGAATCTAACCAGTTGACCACTAGCAAATGGACTCTCTTCCCCTTGATTTTTTTGAGCGCCAACATCTAAAGGACCACGAGCCGCTGCGTATTGACATCCAGACGAGCAATCGTGTTAAACAGGCCACGGGTCTTTGGATACATACTCCATATGGACAACTAGGCTAAAGATTAGGGCCGCTAGGAATGAAACAGACACCTTAACAAACGAGTTGGGCTAAAATTGGCTCTGATTCAATAACAGAATTTAAGATGGAACCCACTTGGGCTGAACCATATTAAAAGATTGAATCCAATCGATTAGTTAGTTTAACTCAAGAGCTTATATATCAATTTTTTTACTTGTGGACTTTCGATATGGAACGACACTCTAACATAACCAAACATAGTGTAAGTATCTGTCATTCATGGTAATTGTCTGATTTTATTTTTTGCAAAATTTAAAGAATCATGGTATACTCAAATTGATTTAATTTTACTAAATCCATCTCTTTTTAAAAAAAAATCCATCTCAATTCCTTTTTTCAAAATGGTTCCTGTTTCGACTAATGAGAAGTATAAGGAGTATATACTCCAGTCGACTTTCCAAAATTTGACCTTGATGTCATAAATAAAAGTAACACATATTAAGTAAATTTTTAGTAAAAAAGTATAATATATAAGTAGAGTAAGAATTAATAGTAGCAAAAGTAATTTTTAATAGAAAATAAAAATATTTTGGTAAAAGAAAAAAAATCTAAAAAAACTATTGTAAAAAACACGAGGAGTAACATTTATAGCAAATTCTTATCTAGTCACCACGGAAAACGTTTTGTTTTCAACAGTTATCGCACTTCGAATATTTATATTGGCACAGTTCCATGTCCACTGGATTTCATGGCCACGGAAGCCACTGCCCTTACGGAGCTCCGTTCATAAAATTGATGAATCCTACTCTCCCGGTAAACCCCCCGCCAAGTCCCGACCTAAACTCATCCCCCCACCTACGTCAATTGCACCTCGCAAGCATAATTGACTTTAAAGTCAAAAGTTTTGAGTTTATGCTTGCGATGTGGAATTGACGTAGGTGGGGGGATGAGTTTGGGTTGAGACTTGGCGGAGGGGTTTACCGGGGGTAGGAATCATTAATTTTATGAACGGAGCTCCGTAGGGGGGCAGTGGCTTCTGTGGCCACTAGAATCCAGTGGCCATGGAACCGGACCGTATTTATATTAGTATACTCCCTCTATCCTATATAACTCTATATTATGACATTTTAGATACATTGGATTTTGATAAAACATAGACAAACATTTTATTAGACAGTCATTTAGGAATGTAAGGACAATATAATTTTAAATAAATAAATAAATATTATTTGAGATATCATTTAATTACCTAATTAGAACTTTTGATGTACTTTTTTAATATGTAATTTTTATTTTTTATCGATATACCGATTTGTAAAAAATTAATTTCAAAAAGTGTGATATTACTCCTCGTAAATCCCAATTTGTAATCAAATTGGAGACGTAGGGAGTAATAAGTAAGGTAAGAATTAATTAGGGTAAAAGTAATTTTTTGATTGAAAAAAAAAAGAATTTATGGAACAAAAAATAAAGAAAAAAAAGTTTAAGGGACGGAAGAAGTACTAACTAAATATATTTTTGTACAATATTTAATCAAAGAAGTTTTTCATGATACACACATAGGGCATGTTCTCCCAACATATTATTTATTCTTATTAAAATCATTTGAAAAGATCAGATCAGAAATAGTTTTATACTCCCTCTGTCTCACTTGAATCTTTACATATACTATTCATTAGGTTAAACTTTATACACTTTTTTTCTTTATTTTCATTACTTATTTGATAAAATAAAATATTCATTCAACATCTAGTTTTGTAGATCTTTTGATGTAGTTTTTAAATATATAAGTTTTATGGAGTACTTCTTTAATTTTACATCTACAATTAAATAAAGTAAATTGAAAATAAAGTTGGTCAAACATTGTAACGCGAACCAAAAAGATTCAAATGGGACGGAGGGAGTATTTAACTATAATCAGATCCGTTTAGACTAGATTTGAAACTATATTTTTCAGAATCGAACCAGTGATCAAATCGGTCAAGACATTGGTCGGTCCGACCATGAAGTGGGCCCCATTGTGATAAGAGGAACAACAACCGAGCCCCACTATGGGGCTAGACCTAAGAGCATCTCCAACCTTGTTTATTATATTTGCTTGCTATTTTTATATTTTAACAAGTGAATAGTGATATAACAAGTGATATTTTGATTCATTTTCCAACCATGACTTGTTAATCCATTCTACAACTCTTGGCTTCTTATAATTTGAAGAGCTTGTTATATTTAGCAAACCAAAGTTATTTTTTTCCCAAGCTTGCTAAAGTTTAAAACACCCATTGGACAAGAGAAAAATGAGTTGACTTGCTATATTATGGCTTTTAGCAAGCCAAAGCAAGATGATTGAAGATGCTCTAAGACATCCCAAGGAGGATAGTGTTACGAAAAACATGACCACCAATCTGCACCGAAGGAGAAAAACTCTGGACATCACTTGATCTTTGCACTTGTAAGCCCCTTCCCAAGAGTGATACGGACTGATTTCATTGTCCCACACCGATTAAATGGGGGACTTGGTGATAGGTTTATATGGCCAAGGATTCTCCCACCTTAAGAGCTAGCTTTTAGGGTATGACTCTTCCTTGTGCTGTATCATTAGTATCAGAGCCAACTCGGAGTGGTAGCCTACGGAATGGTGGCCCACAGAGTGGTGGCCTGGTGAAACCAGCCGTGACCAACGTAGCCCTGACCAACGTGGACGTTGGGCCGTATGGGGGTCGAATGATAGAGAGTGATTTTATTGTCTCACACCGATTAAATGGGGAACTTAGTGATGCATTTATATAACCAAGGATTCTCCCACCTTAACAGTTAGCTTGAAAAAAAGACCAAATATTGGGTTATACAGACTAACATATATTACCACCTGTTTTTTATTAGGGAGATATTCCCCAACTTAAATGTGAATGAATTTACACCTTTGAACACCGGGACAAAAATTTGAACACATAATTTCATCACATTCTTAATAATTACTTGTAACAGTCTTGTCGGTTCAATAAAAAGACATCAACGGAAAGAAAGGAAAAGAAAAACCTTGAAAGAGTGTTATAATTCACTCAATAGTTGTTAACAAAAAATGAGTCACAACTCACAAGTCACAGTAATTGAATTAAATTATTAAACCTATCTAACTAACTGAATATAAGATACTTTAATTATTAAACTATATAACTATCATGGACATGAACTCCAAAATCAATTGCATGCCAAACCCTTCATAGTATACTGTAGTCATATCTCCGCATGTAAAAAGACCCAGCACAATCAAATTGCCGGCCAATCTGTTCAGGTAGATTGCCATGGAAAGGAGGAAATTGAGATTCCAAAATGTGATTCGGATCCATAGATTGAATCCGGCCATCTTCACCAAATGCAACAAGAGTCTCGTGTGGCGCACATAGAGGATGGAAGTATTCATCACGGAGTTTAGCTGACTTGGATGGGTCAGCGCGGCATACAAACCACCCCTTATCCATCAAGTCCTCATCACTAGTATCCCTACTACCATCACCTATGCTTACAACAACCACCTCAACAACATTTGAATGCTTTCTTTTAATATTCTTTTTATGCCATGCAGCTAATTTATCAGCTAGAAACTTCGTCTCCTTGTTGTGCAGATAAAGAACAACAATCTTGTTCTTAAGCACTTCTGCCAAAGAAACCTCAACGATGGAGCTGCTGGAATCACGCTTGCAACAAAGATACTCCCATGGAAGTAGTAGTGAGCTCAACCTCAGTCCCATTTTCCTTTGCAATTCCTTCTTGACTAAATTCCTCCTGGTGAAGGGATAATAGTCCATGCCGAAGTCAGTGATGATTTGTAATCCATAGGGATCCACATACCTTTCAATAGGGTCCACTATGAAAAGACCTTCCTCGTAACGGGCAAGATCACGCATTTGACTGAGCCTAAGGGATAAAGTGTTGTTGAAGGGATAAAACCACCAGCCTAGCAGCTCAAGACTTGCAAGAGCGCCAATGATCAAATCCTCGTGCAACTTTGGGGGCAACAGCATATCAAAGG